CGTATAATGCGCGTTAATTTCGGACGAGAATGGTAGAAAGAGTACGATTTTCCGTTTATTTCTATTTTTTTTTTAGTGATTGCTACTAGAAATTAAGGGAAATTAGGGGTAACTGGATCCAGGTGACGTTCCGAATTTGCTTAATGGAGCATGATTAAGTTTTGTTCGTATTACTTCTCTTTTCTTCTTCCATTTAAATCAAATGTCTCCCGTTCCCGGTCTCCATAATTAGGGTTTAGAACTACAAATGCTACCTCCAAAGAAGCAATATTTTTCAGCTGTATTAGTGGTCATTTGTCCTTTCTATGGTACAAACCTTAAAAAATCCGAAGTTATCCCTGCAGGTGGGATTATTCTTAATATCATTATTATTACGTACTATGATGTTCCGCCTATGGAGTCTGAGTTTGATGAGTAAAATCAAATCAGAAGTTACTTCTAATCAGACAGTAAACTTGATTAATTTGAGAACGATATGAATGTACTCATTATTCTGAGGGTGATGGAATCTAGAAATCTATCGAATAAGAAACCAACACAACGATAAAGGCATCCCCCAATGAGTATATATAAATTTGAGTAATATACGATCAAGACTTAATTAACTTTTTTTTTTTTTTTCATTACAGGGTGTTCACTATTGACAACGGTGACTAATATACGATCAAGACTTAATTAACTTTATGTCTAGTGTGGAACTTGGACATAATTTAGACGACTTTGTAGAGATAATATATTACGTATCCACGATGGTATGCATTAATTAATGTATAGGCTTTTCTCTCCTCCAGCAATTTTGACACGCAGGAGGGTTTATAAATTACTCTCTCCGGTCTTTATTATAAGATATTTTGATTTATCCTAGTATGATTTTTTTAATTAAAATAAAAATCTAAAAAATATTTCATACTAATTAGGAGAACACAAATAATATGAAAATATATTTTTAATGTTATTCTTGCGATTAAAAAGATATCATAGGGAATCAAAATGCCTTATAATAAAGAACAGAGGGAGTATATTAAAATCTAATTAGTAGGTTCCGATCTCGAGTCTCGACCAATGGAGCCGGCCGGACGTCCGCATTAATTTCCAGATCAATATGTGACCTCTTCACATTAATTAGTGTGTTACTCTTTGATTTGAAGAGAATGCGGGAACAAAATTAAAGGCTTGCTGATCGGGGAAAAGTGGACGGCGCGACTTAAAATATGGACAAACTTAAAAGTACTGTATATCAAGGAAATCATTCCAGCATATTTGAAGCAATTAGTTTGGAATCCCCATATCCGTGAAGTTTCCCTCTTTCTTTTTTAATTGCTCTCGCAAGTTTCCGAGCATGGAAATTGCAAGTACAATCTTTTCGTGCTACTAAAAGTACGGAGTAGTATTTCTCTGACTTTAATTAATTCCAAAACAAAACAAGAAAACACAAAACTACATCCGGCCTCAACTGTGTACTAGATGCTTGCCCCGGGCAAATGCCCGGGGGCGTCCCATCTAATAAATTGATATGTAAATTATCAAAACTGATTAGGAATGAATTTAGTTTTTGATGAAAATAATTGATTGACCGAAAATTAATTTTTTCAAAAGTCCTAAATAAATGGAAAAGGAAAATTCCATACACTGTCAAATTCAAAATTTGAATGAACATGGTCATCTGATCTCTTCGTTAATATTGTAAATATATTTTTTATTTTTAAAAGGATGTGACACGTGGCAGAATGATTTATGCAATATGGTGCATTTGGAGCCAAAATATTTTAATAAAAAATTGCCACATCAGCATCCTGTTTTTTGCTTTAATAGGGTAAAAGGGATAAGTAGGAATCATAGATAATATAGAAAGATTATTTATCTTCTTTAACGAGTTTCACGTTTGACAATATGATTCTTTTTTTCTCCTCCATCCATGTATAAGTAATTCGATAACTAACATAGTTAATCAAAAGACTTACTCCCTCTGTCCCAAAATTATTGTCCCGTTTGAGATTTCACTTTTAGTATAATTTGAACTAGAAATAAAAATCTAAACTGGACAATAACTATGAGACGGAGAGAGTATAACTTTTTTTTTTTGAAGTAAAGAGATTTATAACTATTACACGCTCAAGACAAGACTAAATCATCGAAACTTCTAATTTGGAACAAGAATCTATGAGCTTTCCATTTTTTATTTTTTATTTTTTGCGTTGTAAACCATTTGGATCAGTCGATGATTCTAGGTTTTTCTCAACATGGACAGTCGGGTGGGGGGCAAGCAATTTGGTTAGCTCTAGGTATAGTATAAAAGTTTCTGAGGCCTTTTCAAGTTTTTACCACAGCCAAGAGATCAGAGCTGCGTCCAATATAATGTTAATGTGTGGACAATGCCAAAATGTGTAGCTACATTCCATTAATTTGAACCACGAGGTCAGTATTGTTGTCATCATTTAAAGCAACTTTAAAGCAACCGATTGAGATTTGAGAGACAAAATCTATCAAGATAGGAGGAAAAAAATTATTAAAGTTGTTTTCGAGAGTTGCTGATTCGGTCATGTGCTGTTTCTTCAAGGAAATTAATGGTTTCTGGCTAGTGGCTACAGATAGTCACCCCCATTACATTTCAATAAAGACCACGATTTCTAAGAGGAAGGATCAACAGGACCTCTCTCGAAACCTCTAGGTGGTTCATATGATCATGTCAATTTACCAGATTTCTGGAGAGCAGATCGTCTGTCCTGAGCTCTCCTGTCTTATTCTGTCCATGACCTGAACACAGTCTCGTTCTGAATAAAAAGGGTCGGGCCTCCAAATTTTTATTTTTATTTTTATTTTTGTTAGGTCTGGGCCTCGTTTTTACTTTTTTTAACCCTTTCTTTGGCTGATTTTTGTTTTTACCTTTATTAATCTTCTCTTTATTGTTTTTTTTCCCACCGATTAAATTGTCCTAGTCCTATTCGAAACCTCGTTTCTGTCGATTGTCGTTCACCGCCGATTGCATATCCGTCTCGATCGATGAATTCACTTCCTTGGGTATCTATAAGATTTGGGTTGTATCTTGACCTAGTTATTTTTTTTTCCTTTAATTATTTTAAAATTTTATGAAACAATGTTAATATGTGTTTTACCGGATTGCTGGAAATTGTTAATGTTTAAATTTTTTGGCAGGTTAATATTGTTGTCCTGAATTTTGGTATAAATCGGTTTTGCCATGTGGTGGGGGTGTTATGGGGGTTTTGGATTTGATCAGCTCTGTTAGATTCATGAATTTCACCTGCTTTTTTTTTTTTTGATTTTTTCTATATGAGAACTAAAGTTGATATGAATGAGAATGACTTAATTTCAAGCTGTTCTTCTCTGTTTTTCAATCACACAATATTTTTTATAGGTGTTGTGTCATGTGTGTTTCTCAACATGGACTTGACTGCATAAATTTGCTGCAATTATCACATTACGGGATTTCGTCTATTGGTTATTCGTATTCAAAACACCTTAAACTGATAAGACATGCCGGAGATAGAGGTGAAATTTTGGCGGACAGTGAACAATGGAAGTGAAGGGGCTTTGGTGCATCGGGATTACTTTTCAAAGCTTTCTTGGTTCGCTTCTTTTTAGGATTCATAAATTAAAAAAGAATAAATGACCCGAAAAATAAATAAATAAGCAAAAAAGAGGTAAAAAAAAAAAAAGTAAAAATGAGAACCAGGCCCTACAAGAATAAAAAATATGGAGGTCCGGCCCTTTTTATGATCAAAACGACCCCATTTCGGGTCTTGGACAGAATAAGACAGAAGAGCTATGGACAGATGATCTGCTCTCAGATTTCTGTGTCTGATAAAAAAGAGTTGAAATCAAATAATGCCACTCATGGTATGCGTTTCTTCCTTTTCTTTTTTATCCTGTCTTTTGGACTCTTTCGAATTTCTTCATTGAGGTAGGCCAGCCGAGGAGCTTTACTCGAAACTTTGGTCTTTTAACACTCTTTAGTCTACATCAGTATTTTCTTTCGGCTTTTACAAAATATGCGATATGGAATTAAGTAATTGTAAATTACACTTTTAGACGTACTCCCTCCATCTCACAATTATTTGAGTTTTCATTTCCAGTTCAAAATATACTAAAAGTAAAATATTAAACTGAACAATAATTTTGGAATAGAGGGAGTAAATATTAACATCTTTCGGTCTCAAAATGAAAATAGAAGGCGTATGATAAAAGTTATGATACTTTCTTGTCAATATTGTTAAGATTATTCAGCCCAAAAATATAATTCGTTTGTAGTTTAGTCTTCGGTACACATTTTCATAATGCATATTAATTACATCTCAGTTCAGAGTTCAAACTCAGCTTTACCTGAACCCCTGGAGGTCATCTATGGGGCTCTTCTAAGTTCCAACATAATCTTGGCCTATTTGTGTTTAATGCAGAAACATTAGATTCTTGGGCATGTTACTACTTATTGTAATTTATTTTGTGAAACTAAATTTGTGGGGAAAAAAACAAAAACAAAAACAAAAACAAGTGCACTGTTTCACTGGGCGGGAGGAGTATCATACATCTGGAAAAATATTGTATCAATTCCTATCACATGTAAGATATTACAAAAAAAAAAAAAAAGTCGTATGGATCAGCTCAGCTTCAAATACTATAACTGAAAGCGTAGGCCCAAACGAGAAATCCTCATTAGTTTAGCACTTAAAAGTCCCATAAAAAGCCCAAAAGAGTAGCAAAGCCCACAAAAAAAAAAAGAAATGCCCAAAGAGCGCAAGTCTCGTCCACTCCATTTTATGTTGACTACGCTACTGCCCGCCACAACCAAAATCAAAGTTAAAAGGTTCTGTAACCAACGCAACTCCATAACCGACTTCTGAAAAACTGCAAATTTTCAAGAACTCATCTTCTTTCTTCAAGAATCCTTCCCATTGTTTCAATTCAATTCACAATATCTTGAATTCAGAGAATTTTTTCACAAATCTGTTCTCGCCCCAACCTTCGATTACTACCCATCGTCCACAATGTCTTTTCCAAGCGTCGGCCAACCCCAAATCCGTGCTCGTCCGCCGCCGCCGCAGGCCGCCACCACAACAGACACCGAAAAGGAGAAAATTCATCAGTTAGAAATCGTGATTCTGCAGTTAATGATCCAGTTCCTCCATGAAAAAGGGTACACCCCGGAACCCCATTCCCCTGAATTGCACGCCTTCATCAAAGCAAACGGATTCAAGCTGAATGAACCTGTTTTCACGGATAACGTAGACACCATCAAATTCATGTATCTTGGTATGAAACGCAAAAGAGACTTGGAAGGATCTGCCTTCAAGTTCTTGGACTCCTCCACGGAACGGATTTTTCACTTGGCTGCCAAATTATGGGACGAGGAGTTAAAGTTTAGCCAAGATGCGGTTCAACATTCCTTCCTGCTCAACCCGGATTCAGGGGCTTATTCTGAGAAGACGACAGAGATCAAGAAGAATGTTTGGGCCACCCTAATGATCAAAGATGCCGAGAATACAGCATTTGTTCAAGGGGACACTTCTGGTTATAATATCCAAAAATCCCTGGAAATTGAAGTCTTGATAGGACTCCACTCTTTCTACCACAACGCCGGAGGAGTGGTTCCTCAGCCACATTCAGGGGAGCTATATAAGTTCCTCCAAGAAACTGTTCTTGTGGATTTTGAAATGAAGTACCCCAGGCCTTACATAGCGGCATTGATTTGGAAGTTGTATTACGAGTTCAGGCGGATGAATAAAGCGGAAGAACGTTATGTCCCATTCTCGAATCCTCAAGATGGGAAGATCTATGAACTGTCTAAGAAAATCTGGGGTTCCCCTGCTCCTGCCCACCAGCTGATTGATCTCAACGAACCTCCGCCTGTTGATGATGAATTGGATAAATTTGGTGAAGAAATTGAAGACGATGTAATTAAGTCCATACTTCTCTTGACCTACTGTTATGATGATTGGAAGTTGATTCCATTCTGGTGGTTGTCTTCCTGATTCCTTGGAACTTGAATCTGGTAGAGATGAAGAAATTTCATGGTTTTGCAGAAGAGTTCAGACTGCTGCAGAGTAATTGGAGACAAGGTCAATGGTTATGGTGAATTTGCTGCTCTTAGGAGCCTCTTTTTTCCAGAATCTCTGTTCTGTATTTAGCCCTGTTTTTTTAGCATTTGATAGAATTTTGGGATTACTTTTGATCTGCTTGTTCATTGTTGCGGCTGTTTTGAATAGGGGCATCATTTGGATCAATCCGTTTTTTGCAATTAGAACTAGCTGGTGGCAATGTTATCCTTTTCCTACAATAAAAAAGAAAAGGCTGCAATGTTGTGGTGTGCCTATTGATACAACACCCCATTTAAAGCTCAGTACATTTTCCTTGGCTATATTGACCTTCTTGTGAAATTCCTAGAAGTATTGTATACGTTGAAGTCTGAATTAATATTTCTAGTTGAGAACAAAATTTTTTTGTCTGAGTTTAGTTGATTCCATGTGTTGTTTGATGGACCTTTTTTCCCCATCTTTTCTTTCAGGGTAGTGTTTCTGTTGTTGATTAAGCTACAGAAACATGGTGAGAACAAAACTGGTTTGTGTTATTTTGTAACAAGTTCATGTAAACGTTGCATTGCTATTCTGATCTAAATTCCACATCAATATCATTTATTCTTTCATTTTTTAAAGAGAATTATCCTCACGGTTAGCACTTTTTGTTTTTTGTTTTTTCTTTTGAGGCGAAGAGTTTCCATTCCAAATACTCTTGAAACAATAGAAGGAAAAAAAAAAAAAAAGAAGAGGAAAATACATTGTTAAGGTGATTTATAAATGTATCATTCGCATTTTGAATAGATAGATATTCGGGATGAAATTCTTGTCCACAAGCTTTAGCCCAATTTTATTAAATCCGAATGTAAGTAAGACCGGCCCACTTTGACTCCTGATGATCGAGGCTTGGGGGGAGAGGGTGTTTTGTATCGGTTTTTCTGTTTGTTGAATTGTTTATCATACTCATTTTCACTTATTTCTCGTCATGCCAACAATTTGTTCAAACGCATAGTAAAATTTTGCGGTCCTCCTGGCATTTCAAATTGTAAAGAGATTATGGTAAAAACACACTTTGTATTGATACATAGGGTACATATTTATAATGTTACTAGGAAATCCTAACGGTAAATTATAAACCCTAATAATAATTATACAATAATTACAAATTATATTTTATTACTCCCAAGTTGGAGTATGTAAATTCCGGATGCCCAACTTGCTCAACAAAGTATGAAAGCTATCAGGACCCAAAACCTTGATGAAGAAATCCGCCAATTGGAAATCCGAGAAAATCGGCTGTGGAATGAGTAAATTCGACTGAAAATGTTGTCGAACGAAGTGGCAGCCAATCACAATATGTTTGGTACGCTCGTGAAAAACTGGATTGGCAGTAATATGAAGAGCTGCCTGATTATCACAAAAGAGCGGAACCGGATGAAGTGAAGGCACAGCGGAACCGGAAGAAGTGAAGGCACTTCCAACTCTGTTAAAAGACGAACTAGCCATACAAGTTCGCTAGTAGCAACAACCATAGTCCTATATTCAGCTTCAGCTGAAGAGCAAGAAACAACAGTTTACTTTTTGAAGCGCTAGGAAATGGGAGAAGACCCAAGAAAAACAAGATACCCTGATGTAGAACGCCGAGTAGTGGAGCACCCAGCCCAATCCGCGTCACAGTTGTGACGCACGGAGATGTAAGGAGCTATCAGAAGGAAGAAAAATGCCTTGGTCTGGGGCAGCCTTCAAGTAGCGCAAGAATCGCATGGCGGCATCAAAATGAGGCTGGCGAGGCTGATGCATGAACTGACTAAGAACATGAACCGCAAAAGTGATCTCAGGACGAGTAATGGTCAAATAGAGAAGTCGGCCAACAATGCGCCGATAATTGCCTGGATCATCACACAAATCGCCCGAGTCATCAACCCATGTTGTTGTTCGATCGGAGTAGAGCTAGGGCGACATCCAGTAAGTCCACATTCAACCAAAATATCAAGGGTATATTTCCGCTAGCTAAGGGCAATCCCAACAGAAGATTGGGCCACTTTAATGCTCAAGAAGTATTTGAAGCGTTCCATCGCTTCGTTACAGCAAGAAAAGTTCTTAACCTCCACGTACTACGGCAAGCTGAAGGAGATTTGGAGTGAATTATAGAATCTTCGCCCCCTCCCGTCTTGCTCTTGTGGTGGTTGTTCCTGCAACCTCAATAAACAGCTTCACACCATGACTGAGGAGGAAAATGTGTATGAGTTTCTGCTGGTTTTAAAGAGTCTTCTTCTGATTCCTCTTTATTTGTCTATTCCAGTGGATCTTTTTTTCTTGCGGTTCTTATTTATGTTGATGATATCATTATGGCTGGGAATGATTCGCTTAAGGCGACCGGCGTTGAGTATCTAGGACTTAATCAAGGTGTTACACTGAATCCACCGCTGCAAAATCACCATCATCATCAGCCGGTTGTTCAACGAAGCCCGCCTTCTTCTTGGACTGAAGAGCATTGAGGAAGCTGCTTCTCCAAGTGAAGTAGTTGTTGCCATTCTCAACCCGATGTTGAGTAACAAATGTCAAACCCGAATGATCTAACGTGTGGACATAGTACGGCGAGGAAGGATCAACCGCAAGGGAGGAGGTGTTGTTCTTGTCACCCGTGACGAGTAGCCGAAACAGAAAAGAAACAAGCAACCCTAGCGGTGAAAGAAAGAACAGGTTGAATGTTCAGCCGAGAAAATCAAGCAGTCGGAAAAAAAATGGTGATTGGTGGCCGCAAAGAAAGATTTAGGATTTTGTAAAACCTAGTCTCGTGATACCATAAAGAGATGATGGTAAAAACACACTTTGTATTGATACACAGGGTACATATATATAATGTTACAAGGAAACCCTAATGGCAAATTATAAACCTTAATAGTAATTATACAATTGTTACAAATTACATTCTATTAAATTGCAACTTGCAATTCAATTGTGTCAAAAGCCCCTTCATTAATTTGAAATTTGTGGCTTAATGTTGTCGTTATGTGTCTCATTGACCTCATGCTTTAGGAACTTATTAAATGATGATCGAAGGAAAAGATGTTAGATATGCGCCCGAAACAACAACGGATAGGTTGACCTATACTTACGTATTTTGTACTCCTTTCATCCTAACAAGACTAATCTGATTTTCACTTTTAATATAATACTAAAAATGAAAAACCTGGTCGAATTATTTTTAGATGGAAGGAAATAATTTGCCATACCATCTATGCAATGATTATTTTTAAAGAATCTTTCATATTACAATGTAATACAAACAGTAAACTGTATCGATAAGAAGTTTTGCATCCGAAGTGGAATTCTAATTTTAAATCACTATAAAATTTCAGTTTAAAAATTTCTTATAAAGTTCTATTCCCCACCACAAAACACTCTTCCAAAGAAAACCTAAATAGTTTTTATCATTTTTGTTTTTTTTCCCATATAGCAAGAGTTTCTACCATTTGTAACAGTGATTTCTAAACTTGTGCGATAATTTATCATTTTTGGCTTCTCTTTTTTTCTTTTTTTTTTTAGTATAGCAAGAGTTCCTGTCATTTGTAATAGTGATTTCTAGACTTGTGCGATAAATCAATTCCTAAAAATAACAGGAGCAGGCGTACTTCGCGTGAGTCAATAGTGTAGGCAAAATTTCGCATTCTGATAAGATGAAAAAAAATAACCCTCAGTAACTTTTTTCCTATTGCATGCTCAAATTTAATCTCATTTCTCATATCACGGATCATTCTCAAAATGTCTACATAGTGTAACAAAGAAAAAGAGAAAAAAGAATCTCCACGTTATTATATTGAGTTAACTGTATTAGAATTTAGAAGTGATTTTAATCTTTGTTAACTCCTCAGTAAATTTTTTTGAGATTGAAAGATCAAATTCTATGAACATGTAAGGGAGATTTTCCAAATTTATACTCTCCGTCCCAAAATTATTGTCCAATTTGAAATTTCACTTTTAGTACAATTTGAACTCGAAATGAAAACTCAAACTGGACAATAATTATGGAATGGAGGGAGTATGTGGGATCAATAAGGGTGGAATTAACTTTCTCTTTAAAAAAACTGATACCATCATTCAGGAATTTTTAATTTAGCTAGGGCTGTCAGCTAGTCGGGTGGACCCGAATACCCGCCGAACCGAACCCATTTCGGGGCAAACGATTCGGTTAATCGAGTGAATTCGGGGTTTGCGAGTCTATCCGATTAACAACATAATTTATACGGTTCGGGTGCAGGTAAAAAGAAATTAGTTCGGGCACCGCCCGAAAATCCAAGCTTTTAATTTTTTTAATATATATAAATTTAAAATTATTACTAAACATCTAAACCCTACCAAATTTATCAATTCTTCCTATTCTCCTCTTCTTCCTACGTTGACCGCCGCAGACACTACTTCCTCCAAATTTCCCAATTCTTCATATTCTCCTTGGATTTCTTCAATTCTTCTCCTCTTATCCCTCCCCTAAATTATCAAATTGGTTTCAACTTTCAACCCTTCTTCCATAATAACCCTCCCCTTCTTTATCAATTTAAATTGAATTTGAACTTTGAAGACTTGGGAATCTTGAAATTTTTTTGCTGTGGGTTTGCTAAAAACTATTGTTTTTTAATCTCAAGTATGAGTTTTCAAATTTTTGAATCTCTGATTTGTGATTTTTGTGGGCTTTCTTATTGAATCAACATGGGATGCTTGTGAATTTGGGAGGCCGATACTGATTGAATCTGGAGTCTGGACTAGATTTAGGGAAAAAAAAAAAAAAGGTACTTTCTTTCATGTGGTTAAATCGCTTAACTGAAAACCGAACCCGAGTAAACCGAACTCTTAATCGATCGGTGCGGTTCAGTGCACTGTAGTTCGTGATTCAGTTTCGGGCGGGTTTCGTAAGAGAAAAAATCCATTTAATCCGAACCAAATTTCACCCAAACCGTCCGAACCGCCCGAACTGACAGCCCTAAATTTAGCTTCGTAGTTCTAAAATATGATGATAATGAAGTCAGTCGCTTGTAAGTCTTGTGCTAAAATGAAGCTTTTCTCAATTAATTTCCTTGACGGTGGTTTGGATTCATCACGATGGTGACCTTCTGATGTTTCTCTTGTGGCGTTGCACGTACACATCAGATTTTTTTTTTTATTACACTTTTAGAGTTAGATACACAATAATTTAACACTTGCATTTGTAATAATAATAATAATAAAAACCTATCGTATTATTATTTATAAAATGACAACTATGTTGATTATAAATTTTAAATGAGTAATTGAATATAGGCACTTGGTAAATCACGATACTTGTGTAATATAATGCTCTTTTGTTTTTCACCGTATCTTACTATATTAGAAACAAAAACCACACTTAAGAGAAAGCACCACCATTTACCATGTGGCATTTTCACATCATATTTTTAAAATAAATTTTTATTTCCACATCTCCTAAATTTAAAAGGCAAATGTAGTCTAAATTCACTTCCACCTCTTATTTTCGTCAAAAAAAAAAAATAGGTTCATAAAAACCCCAAATCTTCATTCTCATCTCCACGACAATCGACTCCTTAATTTCTCCACAATTAAAAAAAAAAATCCTCATCAATCATCAATTTAGAATATGTGATGAAATATACTCCTTTCCTATTAGCATGTTCAATCTTTTCATCAGTGATGATCAACTACATCTTAATCGGATAAAATTTTAACTTCAAAAAATATTCTCTTTACCTCTCTCTATAAACACAAAGGGAAAAAAAAATCTCATTGATCTTACTTCGGCCATTGTGGTGGTGCCATTACAGGTATTAAAATTTAAATGATTTTATTTCCACAGATTATTGGTTTGGCTTTTATTATTTTTTATTTTTCCCGTTCAAGAATAGTGTTATTACCATTATTTTTATGCGTCCATCCGTTACAGCTACCATAGCCGTTGTCAGGTAGTATGATGTGATTTCTTATTTGGTTAGTTAGCCTAGAATTTTTATATGATTTTAGTTATGTTTGGATTGAATTGATTGATTGGGTTTTTATTACAATGTGTGGTTTTTTAAATTTGTTTTTTATGTTTCATTTAATTATAGCGGTTTTGTTTTTTTAATTATGCAGTCTCAGGTTTTTTTTCGTATATGGCCAATTATGAAGTGTGTTTTTTCTTTGTTTAATTTTTTTTGATTTTGTTTCATACTCCCAGTTGACCAATTATTATTATTATTATTATTATTATTATTATTATTATTATTATTATTATTATTTTATTTGCAAATGAAGCACGTTTTTTTTGTGTTCGGGGTTTTAAGAATATACTTTTTTGGATTTGGTTTTTGAAATTTTTTTAATTTTTCATCATATAAATAGTTAACGCTTCTTTTAACTAATTTATGGGGAATCTTTTTATGAATTTGAGGTGGAAAGGGAAAGAATGATGTTTCTACTTTTATTTGTGTTTTTATATATCATTTTTACTTACAGAAAAAAATAAAAATTCTCAAATTTTAATGGGCTATCTTTTACTCTTTTTTTTTTTATTTGCCATGGTGAGGTGAGTTCTTTTTTGCTATATCTTGAAACCTATGCAAATTTACATTATTTTCATTCTCATATTTGTGATCAATCAGTTTGAATAATTAACCAGTTTCAAAATCATATTTTTGATATTTTACAACCTATAAACTTTTGGAAGAAATAGTTCCAACAATTAAGCGTATATCCTTTGGAGGAAGTTAACTACAAAGCTATTATAAATCTCTAAAACTAAGTATTGATTTGGCACAACCAATGGAGAACATCAATAAATTATCTTACTAATATTTAAACTTATTAGGATACTTTTATATTTTGTCTATCATTTACTTTAAGACATATATTTGATCAAGTTTATTTATATTTAAGAAGTAACACTTATAAAATATTTCTTAAATTTTCAAATATTTCTAAAACGTACCGGGCCAAATAAAATTTATTTTTTTTTGCCAAATACAAACATCACACTTATAAAATATTTCTAAGATCTATAAATATATTGGCCAGGGTCGCGCATTGCGTGACCAGATATCACTAGTATAAGTCAACAGATGATTAATCAAGGTCAGAACATGGATGCATATAACACGTGGCCTTTCATGATTGGGGATGCATTCCATTTCCAATTTGCATCCACTCATTAAAATTGGTAGACACCGTACCCATCAAACTCAAGGGGACCCAAAAAAAAGTTCCAAGGGTCTCTACATAGACAGGGGTAGTTGCATTGCATCGTGTGATCGAGGATGAGGATTTTTTCTGCACAAATTCTTTAAGAAGTAGTGTACCAAACCAACAGCGGTTGTGGTTGAAGTTGTCCGACTTGAAACTCGTAAAGACACAGCGTTAACGAGACCTGTGTAAGGCATGATTCAGGACCAGTAGAGCATTAAATCCTTGTTATTAATCCTTCCTAGAGCCGCAGCATGGGTCGATTGGGCGGGACATTCAATTCAGTTATACTGCATCTTAAAATGAAACATGTTTTTTCTTTAAAAATAAAAATTATTGGAATAAGAAATGTTTCCCTTACCGATTTTATTTCTACCTTATACTCCCTCCATTTCATATTGTAGGTCGTTTTAAGTTTAGGAAGATTTTTCAAAATGTAGGTCGTTTTACAAATTCTAGTCAAATTAATGGTTATTTTTCCAACTTTACTCTCAATAAATAATGCCAATATATTTTCATTTAGTCTTGTTTATAATTTCAATGTAATTAATAAGGGGCAAAATAGATATTTAACACATAAATTAATTAGTGAGTGATTATTTCTTTAATTTACGTGCAAAGTCTAAACTTTCATTTTGAAATGGAGGGAGTAAGTAGCACTGAGAAAACAATGTAGTACGTTTTTTACCTTTCAAAAAGTATTAAGCTGGAGTGATCAAATGGTACCTAATTAATCTTAAGCAGTAATCCTAAAAACACATTCGATTATTTATATATTGTCTTCTCTCGTGGGTCATTCTTGAACTTGCTTACGCCCGACATGTCGTTGTTCCTTGTAGTTTGGTATGAACTGACTGGTTCTGATTACCAAGCCATCAACCATTCTTAAAAGTCAACAAATTATTGTTTATGTTACCCCATTTCTTTCTCTTTTTTTTTTTTGGGTACATATGTTACACCATTTCTAAATTAGCTAATATATCGAGATTCTCGTGGAGGCTTTTATCATTCTTAATTAAGAGATTTTTTAAATTAGATCTGTTCTTTTCCTTTTTTTTTTTAAATAACACTCGCTCTATTTACACTCGAAATTAAATAGAAAAAGATGAAGAAACAAGATTTCCACTGGACATAGATGATTGAAGAAAGTACCTACACTTAGTCCACTTAATAATAATATAATCTTAGTCTACTTAACAATAATATAATCTTATTTAGCTATAAAAAAATAAATAGTGATAAGTACAAGGAAACTTGACAAAGAATAATGTATCAACATCTAAACTATATCCTAATTTTAAATCTATAAATCCTGTTTGGAGAGTTTAACAATGGATGGGTGAGATCATTTTTTCGTAATTTTTTCTTGTCATTTTTTTTTTGTACCTATCATTATTAAAAAAAAAAAAGAGAAGAAGAAAGATCAATATAGGATAGTCAGCGTTTAGGCAGGATGCATGAAGTCTTTCTTAATCAGCAATTTTCTCTTATCGGTATCGATCTAGAAAAGACACTTTCTTTGGGTCATTTTTTAATTTCTTTTTCCTTCAGAGACAACTGATATTTCATGTTTGTACTTTACCGGAGTTCTATTCTTGCATCGTTTGTGGTTTCATAAATTGGGGAGTGAGAAGAAAATTCTTTGTTCCGTGTCTTTTTAGTTTGATAATCTTCATGTAAATGCTACAGGGCCAACTACGGAAAAATAATAATTAAGTAATACTACTTGATTGATGCATATATATTACACAGCAAACGTGAATAAGAAAAAAAATCACATTATACTCACAAAATCACAACCAATACCACAAAATACCACTGCATCACGGTACTCTAAGTGGAAATGATTTCCAAAAATATTCGGACATGTTTATTTCTTATGCGATAAAATGGATAAAATGATTGTTTTGGTGTCATATTTAATTTAAAATGAAGAAAGTAATTTTCGTTTTCCTCATTTTGTTATTAGTAAGAAAGCGAGCATTTAATAAATCAACTTAGCGTTACTTCCACAGAAATGATTAGGTAAAACCAAGCATACAAAAATATTCCACATAAGGATGAATCTCAATGTAAAACTACATACAAAAGAAATGCCATTTCCTGTTTGACACGGAGGCCGTTCATTCATCAGTCATCAGATCAGCTCATTTTCCGCGAAGAAATATTAATAATTGCGATAAAAGTAAGCAAATTGATGTACGGTAATTGATTTTTCTTCCTAGCTAGTACTAGTAAAATTTCGCTGGATGGATGGTATAAATGCATAAAATTTAGATCGATGTACAAGAATTTACTTAATTTATTAATATATTATAGAGGAAAAAAATTTTAAAAAAGAGAGAAAAATTGCAGATACGTACTTTAAAATAATGCCAAATTATGTTCGAGCTCAAGGTTGTTGCATTAACATCATCGCCGCCCAGCTGTATGCACTATGCACCTCCGGCGTACCTCGTCCACAAACTCTTGCAAATTCCGATCGGAGGAACCACCCTCCGCCACCGCATCCCCGGCCAGCTTATTCCACTTCAACGCATTTTCTTTAAGCTCCGCCGCACGGGAACCACTGGTGGCTTCGATCAAACACTTCTTGACTTCTTCCCTTGGAATAATCCGATTCTCAGCCTCACCTCTGCACAACCTTATCCCAACCTTAAATACATCCACCAAATACTTAGCATCCGTGACTTGATCCCCCCACTGAGGAAAAGTAATCACCGGCGCCCCGCTAGCCAATGATTCCAGCGTGGAATTCCAACCACAGTGGGTTAAAAAACAGGCCAAAGATTTGTGGGCCAGCACCAGTTCTTGTGGACACCATTTCACCAGTTTCCCATTATCCCCGACTTTTTCCATGAATCCCTCCGGCAAACTCACGGTTCGGAATTGAGTGTCCTTGGCCGGAGGCCTAATCACCCATAAAAACGGCACCCCGGAATCCAACAGCCCGTGTGCGATTTCCGTGATCTGTGCATCTTTTAACAAAACAATGCTTCCGAAAGAGATATAAACAACCGAGCTGGCCGGCTTCGAGTCAAGCCACTCTAAGCATTCTTCGGCTTTTAGAATGTCAACGCTAACATTGGAATTGCTGTTTGGAGAAGATTTCGGGTTCTTAAACAACGGCCCGATTGGCTTGATGGGGCAGAGTTTCGACATATAACTAATTTCTTCCTTTTCGAGATCCTCGAATGTGTCCATCAAGACGCAGAAATTCTTGGACAAGTTTTTAAGGAGGCCGAATAATATGGCATCCCTTAGAACCGGGTACGGAGTATTTGGGTGTAAGAAACTTGGGATCTCGTCGTGTTTTAACAACGGCATGGCCGGCAACTGGACGTCGATGTCTGGTTGAGTTTTGGTCGGAAACGGGACTAAGTTGTTGTAATAGTGATAGTAAGCGGAAAAACTGGCGGCGGATTGAACCCAGAGGGTGGCGCTAGGAATTTGGAGGGAATCCGCCACGTCATAAACCCATGGGATGAACGGGTTGATGATTAAGCAGGCCACCGGGTGGCCCATTTCTTCTTGTTTCTCGATCAGTTCCGGCAGCGCTCTTTTCCCGGCCACCGCGAGATGATCCAAATACTCGCCGAGTGAGAAGGTTTTGTCCTTTTCCTCGTCTTGGACCCATTCATCATCGAAGAATTCGAACCTGATCAGACCATCGCCGACGGGAGTGGGTTGCTCGCTGATCTTATTAGCTAGCCGGATTTCTTTCCCGATGAGCTCCGGCGCTGAGAGTGTCACGAGTAAACCCTTTGAAGCTAGTCGCTTTCCCAGTCTAAGCATCGGATTCACGTGGCCTTGTGCCGGAAATGATACTAAAAATACATGAAGAAGGCTGCCGGGAGCAGCTTCTGAACCCATTTTTGACAATTTGCTAATTATTTTCTGCAGAATTGTCCTTCTGGATGAAACGTTACAAGATGAGGAGGTATTGTTTTTTGTGCTGTTTCAGGAAAACAATGGTGAATGAGATTGGAATTTATAGCTTTATTATTTTTATTATTTTTGTACGGCCAAACAAATTAACGTTTAGCCTATTAATTACTTGGATTTGGACACACGAATTTTAACTCTAATCGTAAATTTTGATGTCTCCATCGACTTGGGTTGATTGTCAATGGGCAACAACTTCATTTTTGGCCATACAAATTATTGCGGACAGACGCAAATGCTGCGGGAATCACATATAAAAAAGTGTAGTCGAAATAAATCTTAGTATATCATTTATTATTAGTATATCAATTTTGTACATGTATTTTTAATGGTGACCGCGGATATATTATTTTATAGCGATTCTCATTTTGTATGTTGTGGCGTTGTGCTGGGCCTATAGCATTCCCAATTTTTGGTTCTTTTCAACGGCTGGTTTTAACTCTTTTAATATATATTTTTGTAAATTTGCCGACTTCACTTTTCTACTTTGGGAAACCGCCAAACGATTCCAGAACCTTAGGAGTATATTACAAAATGATTAAAGAAGATACCATTTTTTTTTCTTGATTCAAGAAGATACTCATTAATCTTGAATCGTATAAGATGTTGTAAATATATAAAAATCAATCTTACGTAGTGTTTTTCTTGTGGGGTTAGTGGGAGGTATCGCAATGTTTATGTATCACCAGAAACATAACTCTTCCGGTCTTCCCATTTCGATTCAATGTGGGTATCTTCCTTTTTTGGCACGTTTCAAAATTTGGCCTACTTAAGATATATAATTAATTTTTATCTATAATTTTTTAAATATATTTCTATTACTTTTACTGAAATCAGTATGATTTAATTATTTTTTCACTCAATTATCTAATAATCCAGTACTATTGATGGGTCATGGGTGTGTCGAGAATGTTAATTTAAAATTAACCAAATGAACTATATTACCTTTTTTTTTTCTTAATTTTGGTATACGTCAATGGGTTTATTCAATTAAAATGAAAGGAGTATAATAGATACATAGGATAAATTAACTCATCATATATATACATAGATACATATATGTATATATGTTTCATATTTTAAGGACATAACTGAACTATCTCCTCACCTGAAACATGAATATCCTGTTCTTTCCTTTTATCAATAGTGCAGTTTGTAAATTTCCCGCACAACTCTAACATATCTAACCAGTAGTAGTGCAGAAGTTTTGGGTGCCTTAAGAAACTTCGATATAGTAAATATGTACGCAAATATATATCAAATTTGAATATCACTTGTCGGGTCAACTGAGACTCCGGGTGATTAACCGAGAAAGTCCGACTGGGTTTACATATGCAGTGACATAAGAATCATCAGAATTTCCGTGATATTTTGATTCCACCACTGTATATATCTGTACGTTACATGGCATCCAAAAACAACAACAAAAATCTTCAACAATGCTTAAATATAGAAAAAATCGCAGTCCTGGTACCAAAAAAATGAAATGAAAAATTATAGTCCACCATTGTTTATATCTTTTTTTTTTTTTTGGTGAAACCATTGTACTCCCTCCGTCCCATAATTATTGTCAAATTTTACTAAAATGAAAGATTTTATTTTTAATCAAAATTAACTATATTTTACCTTGAATAACCGGATATACCCCTACATAAGTGATTGTTTAACCATAAAGATTTTATGGATAATGTTTTTTACTAAAGACAAATGTGTAACTTGATCCATAAAAAGTCAAATTAGACAATAATTTTAGGACAAAATTTTTTGTGCAAAGTGGACAATAATTATGGGACGGAGGGAGTATATATCTTTCGTTGGAAGAAAGACTGATTTCTAGTACAACAAAACAATAATGTTTTCTTTCTTTCTTTTTTTTTTTTTTAAAAATAGTTTCCTTCACTCTGAAGGTACATTCCCAAAACAAAACAAAAAAATGTAGAACAGGTTGTTGAAACCTGTTTCCGGCACTAATTATGAGAAGAAAGTTTTAAAAAAAAAGTTTCCGGCACTAATTATGAGAAGAAACCCAAAATTGCGGTGATAAAAATATTGGGGAAAACTGAAAAGCCAGAGACAGAGATCCCAATTGCCGCGTGCATTGAAATGACAATGGGCACTTGGCAATTTTTATTTTTAAACTTTTAAGCCCCAAATAGAAATCACTACAGAATAAATGAGTGTAATTATTTTATTTTGCTTTGTAAAGTTTTCCGTGTATTATATTTCAGTATTTTTTTAGTTTTTTAGTCAATCTGATAAATATGATGTGATTGAGCTTTGGGATGAAATTGTATGTTTTGTTTAGATGAATTTAAGCGGTGTTTCTTTTGTCACTTAGAAACAAATTTAGGAAACAAATTTGAATGCCGTGGAGTCAAATATATACGTATTTTAAGATTGGAACGGTTTTATTACATTTTCTTTTTATTGATTAACCTAATTTTTTCAAAAAAAAAAAAAATCCCAAAATTTCAACCCAAAAAACCTCGTCCTCCAATCCCCAAGTCCATGAACCACCGGTAGCCATCTAACACCCTCCAAATCCACCCACCAATCCCCTCCAAATCCACCCACCAATCACCGCCGGTAGCCAACAGCCTCAAAATCCACCCACCATTAGTCAATAGCTTCAACCTCCATTAACCAATATGAGAAGAACCCCGAAATCGCTGTGATAAAAATGTTGGGGAAAAGAAGGGACAGAAATCCCTATTTGCCGTGGGCATTAAAATGACAACAGTTGGGCACTTGGCATTTCTGATTTTTTTAAACGTTTAAACCCCAAACGGGAATTAATAGAAATAAATGGACGTGATAATTCATTGTCAGTTTTCCTCGTATAGTGTATCATTATTTTTTTATATTTTATTTTTGCTCAGTTTAATAAATGTGATGTGAATGAGATTTGTGATGAAGCTGTATGTTCTGTTATATAAATTTAATGTCGTAATTTGCTTAATCTTATAAACATTGATCCTTGTTTTAGACTCCCCTCGAAATCTATTTTAACTTCATGTGATCTTTTTGGCTACAGAAGTCTATGTTGAAAATTTGCTTTGCTAAACTAAGTAGTCCGCAAAAATGTTTAGCACCGCCACGACATGATCAGTATAGACGTGAAGGATCATTTGATTCTAAATATAAGCCGAAAAGTTCATAGAATCCAATTTACTCATTGTTGAAAAGAAAATGATAATCATGTTATTAACAATATTATACTCCCTCGGTCCCACAAAAATAGTCCACATTGAGTTTTCAAAACAGTACAAAACTCAAAACTCAATGTGAACTATTTTTGTGGGACGAAGGTAGTACTAAAAATGAAATTTTAAACTGAATAATAATTTTAGGTCGGAGTATAATTTCATTTAACCAGTGCTTCAATTTTTTCTTTTTGGTAAGTAAATTAATGAAGATTTGAAGAACGAGGTTGGTAGGAAGACTTGAATCTGTGCCTTTTCGAAAGTTTGGGAACTCAAACCAAACTACCAAAGGATCTAGCTACTGATTACTTAAAGAGAAGGAGTCAAATATTAAATTAATAAATTAGATTGCGTAGACGGTTAGACCCATAAGTTGAGCTGGTGTTAGAACCGAAATGAGAATCGAGGATGGGCTAATATTTGATAGTTAGGTTTCTCTAGGCAGAGAATCACACTCAATTCTCATGGGATGCAAAAGGAGAAAGGAATGAAAAATCGGATGTTTATAACGTTGGAAGATGTTTCTAATTTAATCTAGTTTAATATATTTGTATAACTTATGGTTTACGTGGATTATCCAACGTGTATTTTTTATTATAATTTTTTCATTTCGATATAATTTTTTGGTTTGAATTTTTATTTTAATGTAAATTGTACTATATATAAATTGTATTATAAATGAAATTTCAAACATGGCAATTATTTTAAAATATAAAGAGTAAAAATTAAAATTTTGTTTAATGAAATATGGTATTTAACAATTACATAAAAGTAGTTTTTTTTTTTTTGTGGCATTTATACCCCACTCGAATCCATGACAGTTGAACCTATACAAATTCTTTAAACTGGTTATGACACGTTCCCTTAAGTGTTACATAATTAAAAAGTATGACAATAAGTCATGTTTGTTTTCAAATACTAACAAAATATGTTAGCCTGGTATTCCCCTCGATTGGGTCAACAAGGAAACAAATAAAACTGAGCCAAATTTGGCTTTGGTTTTAGGAAACAAAACCCACTCCAATTAGGTTTTTGTTTTTAGATTTCTTTTGCTCTATAATAGCAAGGCTTTGGCATAATTTTTATGTGTGTGTTTTCAACCAAGAAGAGAAGAAAAGTTTGGGCAGCCGTGCATTGTTTTTTTACGAGAGAAAAAGAAAGAAAGCTAGGGTTTAGTTTTCGGTTAAGCTCTCTTTTAGTTAGATCCTTCCAGTCCTACTTTGTAATAGGTGTGTGTGGAAGAATATTGTTGTAATCCATCTTTGGGTGAAGTCCTGTGTATCCACCGGTTGGTGAAGACTGTTTTCCCATTATTGTGATAGTGGAGATTTGACTGTTGTTACAGTCCCGTGGTTTTTCCCGATTTGGGTTTCCACGTAAATTCGTGTGCCTCCTTTATTTTATCAGTTGTTAAATTAGTTGCTTGGTTGGTTGTTTTATTTTATTTGTAGTAGGAAATGAGTTTTTCTTAGGGTTCGCTTCCGTGGTTTGTTGTGTTTATACTCTTTCCGCCACAACAAAATATTACTGACAATATTAATTACACAAGTAATAATCATGTTCATTAACTATATATTTTTGTAAAGTAAAGAAGACAGCATTTCAAAAATTTACATATCAATATACTGATAAAAAGATACAGATTATATCCTACTTTGATCGTGGATGCTAAGCCTCGAGTATCCAGCCATGTTCATGAGCAAGGCAAGCTATACGAAATTTCTTTGTTGTACAAACTTTTCATCTTTTTCTTAATATAGTTGTACATATAATTGTTTTTCTCGAGTAATTATTTTTTCCGTTTCCGGATGATTATTTTTTTAAATTTGAATTTTTTTATTCATTTTTAATCAAATCATATTATAAGTAAAAGTTAAAATTAAACAGTCATTGGCAGAGAAAATATATATATAGTAGTAACTATATGTGGTTAGTAGTATTCTTGAACATCTAGAAGATAGGCAAGAATTCATAGTAGTAATTTACGTTGGCAATGACGTCCC